AGGAACAGAAGTGCCTAATATGAAGTTAGTTCCACCAAAGTCATTTTCCAACATAAGCAATAACATTTGCAGACTGGTGGCTAAATGAATTCATTCTCTCATTTGGCAGTCTACATGTATTCCAAGCACACTGGGGAACAAAAATCCCAGCAGAATGGCTCCTTTCTTTGCTCTGGCAGATCCAGGAGAAACAGATGACAGGACTTTGGCATCCTTCTGTCTGTCATGGAAATCTCTTTTGAACTGAGGCCCTGTGTCAAAGAGGATAACATACGCAGCACTAAATTGCATTGCAATCTTTCAGCTGTGAAGCCTGTTACACTGCAGTGAACAGATGAATTTCAGGATCTGGTCCATAGCCAACATTAAATTATTTAGTGAGTGACTTCACTGAGGTGACTTCAGTTCTGTCATGTTGTTTTTTTTTAAAGTTCAGGATAAGCAGTAACTACTGCTTTCTGCCGACTGAGGCTGGATCATCAGTAAAGGTATAAAATATAGTATTATATCACTTCCAGAACTCTCTCTGTCCTGCCGCTATTTATCTACACTTCTATAACTAATGCTTTGAATTCACCACATGAACATTTTCTTTGTACAGCTTTAGAAGCTCAGATGCTTGCACTGAAACTATATAACTGTGGGTATCCTTTGTCACTCTAGTAGTCCATTATATTCCAAGTGCAAATATTATAACACTCAATTTCAGTTAATGTGAGGACACATTAACTGAAACTAAATTGTGCATCATTCTTCACCTGTTATTATCCCCACATTTAAATGTTTGCATCAAGGCGGTCTGTAGTCTGTACTAAATCTAAGCACATGGAAATAATTCCATATTTTAATGGTATATCGCTCAATATTTCCCATCATTATTCCTCTCCCATGATCCAGATATTTCAAACAATTAGATTTTTATAAGGTCTGGAAAAATACAGAGCATGTAGATTAGAGATAGATCAAGGGTGTTAAACTCTAATAAATAAAAAGAGGCAAAGTCCCTCCAATAAATATTTGGAGGTGACTGATTTATTGACTGCTCTTCTATGCCCTCTTTTGCCCAATTAAGGTGGCTTACAAGTTAAAGACTGTGAGACACAATTGTAATGGATATTCAGATTTTTTCCTTCACCCTCAATGAAAATAAATGGTGTCTTGGCACATTAATATACCCCAATGAAAAACTTGCCACATTACCATATCACCGAGGACTGGCTCTCATAAAAGGCAGATGTGACCCCAATGACAGGAAATGTTGACCCCAATGACAGGAAATGCCATCTGCCAGTAAGATACAACTTCTGGTCTATTAGGCCTAGAGAGGGGTGTTAGTGGTACATGAAAATGAGAGAGAGCACCATAGTTAGCTTCATCTCACGTAGCACAATAACTCTGGCTGGTCCTGTTACTGTCATGCCTTAGGAAGAAGGTAATATGTATGTGTACACAGTGGTGATGTAAATTGGTGGAAAAGATTTGGTTTGCCTTGAACAGCAAGGTTGGAGAAGCAGAGTTTGATCAGGTGTTTGAACACAAGATGCTAAGACCTGCAGAGGGTAAGGGCCAAGATGGAAACCAGGGCTCAAGCCCCTAGTATCTCCCTTAAATGCCATCTTAGCAAACATCTCTGCATAAGGCACTCTTTCTCCTTTAGATACGCAGTCTGTACTTTTGTGTCACGTCGCAGGAAGGCATTTAAGGTATTGAATCAAACAGCTTGAGATTATTGATTCTAAGCACAGAAACCACTGTTGGTACTGTGAACATTGTGTACTTAGGACAGACAACCAGTGCATACCAATTAGAACATGTGGATTGTCTAGGTCAGATCCTTAAACTAAATCCTAGTGCAGATTTGCCTTAGAGGGAAGTTAAATAAGGTTAAATAAGATATTTTCCAGGTTCATACTTCACTACATCCACCAGTAAAATAGCTTGGTGGAGAAGCATTTCTATCAAAACTACTCCCCCCCCAAAAAACTGAAATGATGGTTAAAAGATACTTCAGGAAAATCTCATAACATATTTAACAATAGTTACTTGTGAATTTTCTATTTTCTACCAAAAAATAGTGCATTCATGAGCTATTTCAGATTGGCCTCTTTTTATTTGTGAGTTCTAAGAATGATCTCTCCATATTCTCCTACATCTCAGGAAATAAAATATCTCAGGCTAGTCCTGACACCATTGTACCTCAGTATAAGGTTGTTTTAACTTGTGTGAACTTTTGTTGAGATAAGAAAGTGGAAACCATCACGTTGTCCATACAAAGCATGTTACCATAGTCTCTCGAGACTGAAGGGTGGCTACACTACACACAGATAGAATTGCTGAATATTCAGATGAAATGAAAGCACCATTATAAAGAAAAGCTTTGCAGTGAAGCCAGACTCTGTTTAAAAGTGTGGTTTCACTACAGATATACGAAGTGAATTTGCATTTCTTACACAGAATTTGCTTTTCTTATGCATACAAGCATTACAGGACAAGACATGTAGTTTGGACTTTGGGGAAACTATTAATCAAGCAAAGAACAATGAAGGTAGCTATTTTTTTAAAAAAATCATTTTTGAAAGAAGGCAATTGTCCTGAAACATACTTTGCACCAGGAAATATTTAGCCTTTTTGATAATGATCTAGTTTCAGGAACTTTAGTATTAAATGCATGCTGGTAAGAATCCTGGTGCCCTGTCATATCAGGAGGCACCTGGTGACTTGTGAAATGCGACCTTCCCCAGCCCGGTGACCTTCCAGAGGCTGGAGTCATAGACCAAAACATTTTGTTTTGCTTTGATTTTTGCTACAAGTTTGTATTATCTCCCCTCGCTTTGGAATTCAGGCATTGAAAGTTGCCTTGAAAATAATGTTGATCAGTATGAGTAGAACCACCCACATGGAAAAATGCCTGATTAGTAAATAGCAAAATATGTTGCATTTGTTTCAGCATGTTTGACGTAATCATGGAGGTAGCTGACTGAAGCAATGTCAAGGGACCTACACAATCTTCAGTGTTCATTCAGTGGGTAGTTTATTTCACAGTTAGCATCCTGAAGGAGGTTTTGGATGTGGTGTAACTGGGCAAAATTATCAAATAATTTAAAAGAGGATTTTTTTTGTGTGTGTGTGTGAAAACTGTCTGGAGTCATGGGAGTTCCAGTCTGTCTGCTGTGTATCAGCTTCCAGTCAAACTTGAAAAATACATTCCCTTCCTAGAAAAGTGGTGAAGCTTGAAACCACAGAGAAAGCACAATGCCACAAGCAAAAAAAAATCTGTCTTCACTGTTAAGGGGATTTTTCCCCCTGTACTCAGGGCTGGATTTATGCACCAACCAAATAAAATAGGACTTAGCTTATTGCCTAAAAATGAAAAAATAAAACAGGGATACAGATTATGAAGGGGCTCTAAATATTTTTCCTTAAAAACTGTATTTCAAGTCTTACATAACTATCAGGCCCATATACACTTTTTCAGTAACACTTTAGGGACCCTTAAACATGGCATGGCTTAGGACCTTGGCAGGTCTTAATCTTGCCATGGATGTACTACAGGTATTTGCTCTAATGCAGCATTTCCTTTCATATGCTCCAATAAATGGCAAAGTGGTAAATTCTGAAGCCCAGGAATTCATCATGACAACCCATAGTCACACCTGCCTCCCTAAATATGGTCCCAAGGAAAATTCAAAAAATGTAGACAGCTGTTTTGATCCATTATCTGTGCCCAAGCATCTATATCCACATCCATGTCACACATACACACATTCATGAAAAAGCAAATCTGCTTAATACGTATGTATTGGAGATTTATTTTCAACCTCATATGCTGTTTATGGTTTGTGTGACTGAGGGACCTTTCTGAGCTGGGGTGATCGTCTGTCTATCCTGCACTAATGAATTGTTTCTTCCAGCCTTTGATTTCAAAGAGAGTCCTGCCTCTCTGCTGACTGTCTTCCCTCTTTTTCTGGGTTGAGGCAGTAGTTTGTTTGCCATTGATCTGTTTAGTTGGTTGCTAAGTATGTGTGCAGTACAGAAAGCAGTATGTGCAAGTCTGTAACTTCAAATAATGTCAAATAACTGTAAGTAAATATTTTTTTCTTATACAGAATTTCTCAGTACTTCTACTACATAGAGAGCTGGGGTGATCGTCTGTCTATCCTGCACTAATGAATTGTTTCTTCCAGCCTTTGATTTCAAAGAGAGTCCTGCCTCTCTGCTGACTGTCTTCCCTCTTTTCCTGGGTTGGTGGCAGTAGTTTGTTTGCCATTGATCTGTTTAGTTGGTTGCTAAGTATGTGTGCAGTACAGAAAGCAGTATGTGCAAGTCTGTAACTTAATGTCAAATAACTATAAGTAAATATATTTTTTCTTATACAGAATTTCTCAGTACTTCTACTATGTAGAAAAAAAGAAAATTTTACCAGAAATTCAAAACTCTGCAACAGTACATTAAGGCTGGATTGGAGAGACTCTTATTCACATCCTCAGTCAACCATGAAGTTTATTGACTAATATTGACTTACTCACTGTTCAAGCCATACTACCTAAAAAAAGGAGCATGTGCCAGGCCAAGCCTGCCCTCCAAACAACCAACACTAACAAATACTGCTCTGGTAGATAATCTCATTGCTCTTGCTATGAAGAAATATCATGATTCATGGACCTCCTTTCCAAACTCCCACATTTTTTGCTATACAACCCCTCTGATCTTATTTGTGAAACAGCCACATCTTCAAAGGTTTTTGCATTCCCCTCAATGGGAAAAAAAGAGAGCTCAGTTTAAGCATCAAAATGAATGTATGACATGACCTTTTCATTGAGCTGATGGTGGAATCCACACCAATGGAGTGTTTCTCCTTTGTATTGTCCATTAACTATCAGCTTAATGTCTGTCCTCAATTAGTAACTGCAATACAATCATATTTCTGATGACTAAGATTAAAATGGAAATGCTTCCAGAAAATGAGTTCTCTGAACAAATTCTGCTGTTGATAGACTTACCCTCCTTCTTCTGAATACTTGTGACCAAATGCAAGGATGTCAGATGCCCGGCCACTGCCATCACATACAACAACTGGAACTGGTGGAGTGTCACGTAGATATTCCAGGACAATAGAGATCACATTGGGACCCCCTTCTACAATGAGAGCCACCACTGGGACACCTTGCCCAATCCCTGTAGTGAAACACACAAAAATAGGAAAGAGAGAGAGAAAAAAGAAGCCAGCAAATCAAACAAATACAAATACAAAAGAACCGAACTGACCACTGAATGGATTTTTAAGGACTAATAAGATACCATGTCTAACTGCTACACTACTCCTGAAATTCCTTGCAAAACACATATTCATATCAAATGAAGTGTCTTTTATTGGTTAATTAATGGCCATCATCCTGTCCATGTAAAGTCACATGGTGGAAGCTGATGTCATCAACTGGAACTAGTAACATTTAACTACAACTAATTAAAACCTTTTTTCCCTTTTGCTCTGGGGAAGCCTTTGAGAGCCTTGAGAACTGGGGACTGGGAGCCTTTAAAAGTCACAAGCCACAGTCAGATCACCACTACCAGGATCAGAAGGAGAAGCTGGCAATATCTGAGGGGAGACATGTGGCACCAGTAGAAAAAGGCAGACAAGGACTCTATCATAGCACGACAACATATATTTCAGCAAAGCCTCAGCAAATGGTTTCCTCCACCTTAAGCTTACAATCCATTACAGTTCAATTATTCATCCTAATTCTACATGACTTTACTAATGCAGGAATCTCAGAGTGCATATGAAATTCTTATGCATGTAAGAACTTCCAACTGACTTCAATGGAATGAAGAGTTTTGAGTAGAAATAAAATATATGTACATACCTCTTTCAGAGAAACCAGTATTCATGGAGTAGTTCCACTGGAGTTTTGTCTGTTAGCTATGACCTATATATCCCTATGAACACACCAAAACTTGTCTAAATTTATTATTACTAAATTACTTTGTCTTTTTTTCTCCACAGTTTCCTGGTGAGAAACTGAGGGAGGGGGATGCCTCTCTTCTCCTCATAGAAAGATTTCTCCCCACCCCTGGAAGAAACACGAAATCTGCACAGAAATGCTACAATTTGTACAGAAAACGGCATCCTTCCTTCACAAGCATCCCCAGATCACTGAGTGGGACAGAATTTTGGCAGTTGTACAAAATTGTACAAAAGAGCAGATGAAAAATGAACAAAAATGAACAAAACAAGACTGAGATTTTGTTTCTGTAGGAAGTACGAAGTTTGTCACCTGCTCAGTTTTTTGCTTTTCTATATTTTATTAGGAATTGTGTATATTTGTTTTTAAAAGTTCAATAGTACAATTCAAAACTCTGCAACATGCAACATATATACAGTATGTCTGTCTGTCTGTCTGTCTGTCTCTCTCTCTCTCTGTGTGTATAAATATAAATATAAATCACTGCACCCCTTCACTTCTCTCCCATCATTCAGCTTCCAGTTACATCCTGTCTAACCACCAGAACTACACACAGAGGGGGCAAAGCAGGCAAGAAAAAGATAAATGAGAGGAAATGGGAAGGAGTTGGCTTGAAGTGAAGGAGAAGATGAAACAATCCATGCCTTAGACTGCAGGCCCATCATGTCAGCCTGATGTCTCCTTAAAATGATGCTTGTCACATGGGCATGCTTCCACTTGAATGTTCATGCTCTCTGCCACTTTTTGGAGCTTTCTTCTTGACAATTTCATAAACTCTTTAGCATTGTGGGAAACTTTGTTTAAAGCAGCGTTGGGTAAAGGCACAGGCTATTAGTCACCTGGGGCTCCTGAGCTGAATTTGTGACCCCACAAGACACTCCCCAAAATATTAGACTTTGAAATACCACAGTTCTGTTATTATCTATCCCTCATTTGAATTGCTTCAGCATCTATTTTGTTTTACTTAACCAGTTCTGGAATTCTTCTTTTCATGTAAATATAACGATACCTCTTAGAATCTCACTTTCTTCTGCATCATTCAGTCATTTCCACAAATAATTTCTTTCTACATGTCTCTATGGTTTTGGGCTCCTTAGCCATTAGAGAAGCACAGCACTGGCATTCTTTGCTATTCGTGTAGGTAATCTGTAATCAGTAACGCCTTATTGCTAATCTGAATACATAACTAAGGTTAGAAATTATGGAATAGATTTCATGTAGTGGATTATACTGAAAAAGTTAATTTGATTTACCTAGAATATCTAACAAATTTAAAATATATTTTTGAAATTACATATGTTAAAATGTTTTATTATTTCTTAATTTGTCTACCAGTGTTGTGAGGAAGATATTTTTAACAGGGGAAAATATTTTCAAAGGGTTAAAAAAAAGAGGATATACTGGCCTAGTAATATTATTTGTTGTCATGAGACCTACCTTCAATGACTTTTACCTATTTTTGAACATAATTTTAAAGTATTTAAGAAGTAGCCAATTAATTAGCACATTCTTTCCACTTTAGCCATGCCTCCTTGAGAGTCTGGCCCCTGAAACATCAGCCAATCTGAAAAATGATCTCCAGATCCACTGAAGATGCCCACTTGGTATAAAGGAAGTGCCCCACTCCACCATCCAAGTTGCCCAGGTTCTGTCATTTTATTAGGTGTATGGATCCAAGTCTATGGATCTAAGACTTGGTCCTTTTGATCAAACCTCAAGGTGAAATATGCAGTAGATACATGGGGACAAGTGGATATAACGTAAGATAGGGGCACTTCAGAGAGGTTTAAAGAAGAGCTGGCTGGTGGGCACCAAAAGCAATTAAAATTCAGCAAAACCACTGTCATCTTCCTTGGTGGCCCAGGTTTTGACTACAAGTCTGAACTACAGGTAAAAGGGGTAGTAGTAGAACAAAATCTGCTTTCACCACAATAGACCTTAATCTGTCCTTCCTCATATAAGGTAAGCATAAGTTCCTTCAGCTCCACACAATTACAGCAGGGGTAGGGAGATGGGAATGTCTCAACCTGGAGCTAATTCTGTCAACATGACAGAGTAGCATTCTGTGATGAATTCCCTCCCTCTCTAACAAGAACTAAGGCCCTATTTCAAGATACCACATAGTTCCCTGTTCCACTGGGTGCTGCTATGGGTGAGTAATGGCTGTCACTGGCAGAAAAATATAAACCATTACAATAGCAACACACAAAGCAATAGTTGCATGTTATGGAGTGAGAAATGGAGATGCTATTTTCAACAATAGATGTATTTCATAATGAGTAATTATTTTGAAGAAGAATTTATTTACACTATTTAAAATATCTTTATGCATTCATTAAAAAAAGATTAAGGAAAACTACAGGGACTCTGTACTTTCATGATAAAGGCTTCCTAATCACTATATTCTAGAAAACTATATATGAAGTTGAAGAATATGGAGAGCTAACTAATCATGACTGTTCTTGTCTTTTGAAACATGTAAGCCAAGTAGTTGTTCCTTAGTATGAAGTACAAAGCGAAGTGTTTTCTGTTACATAAAAGCATTATATAATACCCTATGTCTGGTTACATGTTTAATAATGTTCAAAGCAGCACTTGAAAGTAGATCTGTTAATTCAATATAGCAAAGTCTACTTTCTAATATTTGCATATTATATATATTCTTCCTGCTATGATTTTCCAGCACTGTTAAGCAAAATCTTTTCTAATCTCTCGTTCTGTTTATCTGCTTGCCTGTTAATCTCTGCAGAGATTGCCTTTACACGCATTGAATTAAGAGCTTTATAACTTCAACAGTAATGGGAAAAGGATCCTCTCTTTGCTTCATCCAACAGTCATTTGCAATTAAGTATTATGTATTAAGGCTGCCAATTTCTTGACATGCTTCAGTTCCCAGGTATTCAATCTACACCTCTGCAGTGTAAGGTAATTGCAGTGTTGACAGTGCATTTTCTGGGCCTTTACCCCTGTGGGTATTTGGCAGCTTGGCTCCATGGGTAACCCTCAGAGTGACAAAGCAAGCATAAATGATTTTGCAAATGTGTGCACGTGCAGCTTTTAACAAAAGAGCTACTTGGTCTCGGAAGAGGCAGAAATCTTTCATCCATTCCCTTATTGCATAAGTACATGAACCTTCAGTATAAAGACTGACATGAAAAGTGAAGGCAAACCCTTTACCAAGCCCCCAGAGCCTTGCACAGCTTTGATATCGCAGTAGCCTTTGGTCTGTTTCTAGCAGAAATCAGAATACTTGAGAAAAGACACCCCCTTGTTCTGAGTTCCTGATATGCTCCCTGCAGCAGCACATTCTGATAAACCACATTCTTTTACTATGTTATTACAGAGAAACCTCATGGCTAAGAGTTTTTCCCACAAATGTCCTTGAGGCAAGGAAAACGGAGCATCTCATCTGAAACACACTCCCGTAACTGGGCCTGCTAGTTCTCTTTGTAACTGACATAGCATGCAATAAGAGAGGCTGGAATTCTAGGATGCTATGTGGAATGGGATGAAATGGCTCAGAAATGTTTTGTTGCACATTAGGCTTGCTTTTAATGACTGGTTGCTTGCTTGCTTGAGCTTGGGTTGGATTTAAATGCTTTTTGGGTTGTGGGCTATGGCCAAAAACATTCAGGAATAAGCAGATTTCAATTTGGCAGCCTAACATTTTAATAAAATTGCCATTTTTATTTTCCTCATGAACATATTCCTGACCACCATACGGACTCCGTGATTGCCTTGGAGGACATCACACAGTTATGTCAAAAAGTTTTTGTTAATTCAAGATTTGATTATGCCTCATGCAAAACTATGATTAAAACTTTATTTGCTTTTTAGTCTGTTGAAAGTTCCCTTATCATCATTTTCTTTTTATGCTCACATCACAACTTGGTAAAAAATATATTTATTTTAATATTAGCAGTTGGAAATATTTCAGCTAGATTTTTAGAGTTTTTTTAATGTAGATTCCAGGACAAGATTTGAGCATTTAAGTCCCACCCACACACCCACTTGTATTGCATCAAACTTGACTTTACAGAACAGCACAATATCCAAAAGACAAAACAAGACATGAGGGAAAAATAATGTGTTTTATATTATAAAGGCACTGCTTTAAGTCAGTCAATATCTTACATTATTGGTAAATATTTTGGGTTGATTCCATTTGTATTCCATCAGAGGGGCATTCATGTGCAATACCCGTAAAAACAT